CCTCCACCCATTGTGGGATCGTACATCAAGCCTTTGAACGAACAACACAAAACCCCCAAAATAGTCCCTTTCGCTAAAAATTTCTTCCTTGGAAGGAAATAGCTCCCTCATGATACCACGACAAATCATAACTTGCAACAAACCTGATCTTTGCTTTCATTAACACCTATATGGGCTAGATTTGTCATGACGACCAGGGAACTATTTAGCTCGTAGACAATGCCCACTTTATGAATTTGTCTAAAAGTAAATGCTGTTTCCCAAAGGCATGATAGTTTGATGCCTGATGCTCGATTTAGGCATTTTCCATATTTGGTCCGTCCACCGTTGTCTTTTTTGATGGGAGTGCAGATGACAGCGCTTTATTTGTCTCATTGGTTTGAACTAAATCCTGCCACCGAAATTGGATATTTTTACCAGTTTTCCAAATAAACACCTTTCTAAGACGGAAATGGACCCAAAGTTTTTCGTAATATCATTGCGCAATGCTTAGAAATACATGTCCTTGCCAAACTTGAGTTTTTGCTGCTCCATAGGTACTAATTATAAATGCGCACACCGATGCACAAAATGAGAGAGTTTAGCTCGAATGTGTTCCTCCATTATTGTTGGTAGCTCGCAGTAGACATTCAAGTTGGTATCACAGCTGAAGGTGTGATGCACCCATTAATCCGGAAATGTGCTACAATTCCACCCCCTTACGCTCGTAAATTGCGTTTTCGCGGAGGCATTCTAAATAGGGTTTAGCAATCCTTATCGTTTGAGGACGATAAGCTAACCTTACGACATGCATTTGCCTTGAAATGGGCATTTTTGTATGCATTTAAAGCCGAGAGAACATGTTGATATAGATTGCTATTAGATTCAAATGCTAACCATGGTTAGAATATACTCCGTCGATTAAAGGAAATAATGAAACATATGGGCTGCACTAGTGAAAGCGAATTAGCACGCTATTGCTTGTCTGTGAGCTACGGCATAAAGGAAAATGGAAGACTCCGCGCATTGCACAATTGGAGGTGACACCTGCATAGACCTCAAAGTGAATTATGATGTGGTTGTATTTTAGGAACTCATGGAACGGAAGCTGGTCATGGTTTGAATTGATGATAAGGAAAGA